CTGTTCTCTAGCCCCTGTTCTCCTCTTGGGAAGCTATCCTAGACACTTGATGAAACAGAGAGCCTTCTTCCTTCCCCAGTGCCCAGATTTTACTGGGTTTTCCCTTGTCTTCTCCCAGCCTTCCCCCTGTTCTATGACTGCATCCAGTCTCCTAACCTTCATTTTGCCATGTTAAACCAGCCAGTCTCTTCTGTTCTCACCTGGAAGAAAAGCTGCTTTTCTCCTCTGATCAGCTCTGCAGCCTTTCTCTGGGCCAGAGTTCAAGGTCCATGAGTGTGGCCAACCCGTCCCAAGATCTCAAGAGCATCTTGCAAGTAACACTCCTGGCCTCTGCAGAGCACCCAAGGCTGGCAGGGAAGGCAAAGAGGAGGCAGTTCCTTGCAGTTATCAAGCAGATAAGAGGATGTGCCAGTCCCAAGTGGAGCACAGAAATGATGCAGCAGCTAATTAGCTCATTTTGCTGATTGTTAACACCAAGTCACACCCCATCAGTCTTGCTACTTTGACCCCTCACAAAGGGCAGGTGCTGTTCCTTTTTGGAGCAGGACAGGATCTTCCCGGGGAGGTAAGGGGACCACAGAGGCTGCAAGTCAAATCCTGCTCCTTTCACAAGCACCTTGCCAGCCAGCAAACCTGGTTTCAAGACAGCCCAGCATGGAACAGAAATTGGACTTACAAAGGAAAACGGTCTTTGCAGGGTTTGTGTTGCAAAAGCTTCCCCCTAACAAGCAGCTGTATGCAGCTCAGGGCAGTGTCTGGGACAGTCACCCAGAGCAGGTGTACTACGATGCCCTCATAAGCTTGAGTAGTCTACAAGAGGCAAGTGTACCTCTTTGACAAGCCTGCAGTGCGATATCTGAATACACACTTTGCCACAGCAGAGCAAAGCTTCCAGATCCGTCCTCCTGCATGAGAGGGTCAGCTGAATCCCTCCAGGCCGCCCCACACTTTCCTTCCTGTAGAAACAAAATACAGGAGCAAACGTACCTTTGTTCAGCTTGGTTTCATCATCTCCATGGGGCCTCATGTTCTCACGGAGAGCCAGCTGGCCCACCAAATATTGTTAGCAAACCACTGTAGAGGGCTGCAGATGCTTTTGGTCTGCGCTTAGACTCAGCTTTGGGTCTAGGAAGCACCTTCCAATGCTTTGTAGCACTTTGTGATCACCAAGAGCATCTTCTGGATGCCATTATTGCCTTAACACGCTTGTAAGATGAGCCCAGAGTGCCACAGACCCCGTAGGGAAGATGAGCAATCCGTCAGTGATGCCTTACCCAAGGGATCTCATTCCTCAGGGGATGCTTGTGCTGAGCCTCACATCAGCTGAGCATTACTTGCAGATAACATGGCTCACAGCAATCCTCAGGGGCTGCTCCATGTCTGCATCTCCAGTCTACCAGCTGGGTGGTCCTTCCCCACTGCTGAGCATTTGGGGTTGAATCTCTTAACACTGTCCCAAGAAGAGGAGCCTTGTTACACAAACCCAGCAGCAAGGAGGTACCAGCCACAACAATAAAAAAAAGCAGTCAGCATTAATTAGGAAGAAGTGCTGGTGGCTGGAGGGCTTTTTGCTTTCTCCACCTACAGGAGCAAACTCCTGCCTGGAGTTATCTCAATAAATCTTGCTAATAATTGAGGCTCTGTCTGCTCCCCACAAGACTGTCCAGCTGACGGGAGTGTTTACACACATCTATGTTATTTCTTAGCCAAAGCTGCAGCATTAGCCTGGGGTATTAGTTCAGCACTGAATAATTCTGCGTGGTCTCGTTGATTAATCATACAGTAAAGTCTTGCAGGGCAGGACTGTATGCAGGAAAGCCTCTAACTAGTCAACTAATTTAAGAGGTTGCTGAATGGACAGCCTAAGAGCAACACTCATTTATTTGTATTTCTTTATGCTGATGTGCTGTAAAACGTGCTATTCCCAAAGCACTCAAGGGCAAGGAGCAGAGACCCCAAGCTGTCCTTACTCATCCAAGCAGCCCACAGCTATGGAGATCAGCTTCATGCCTGTCCATGGCTGGTTTAAAAAAGTATTCAAACTCTATGTTTTGACAGAAAAACAGTAGAAGCTTGTCATGGTTTCTTCAGAAAAAGTTTTGTCTACAGTCTAGACAAGAACAGTTCTCAGCTGGGGTCCTGAGTGCACTGTGACAAGCAGGAGATCTTCTGCTGGGGTGTTCCACCTCCCGCCCCAGGCAGCCTCAGTGCAGTGGCCTTTTGGGATGATCTGCCTGGCCTCCCACTCCATAAGCAGCTGGATGCCTCCATCTCCAGCTTGTTCCTACTCTTGTGGGCCTGAGCCATCATCACACCCTTTGCTAGATTCCTGGATCCCTTCTCTTCCATTCTCCTCTTAAACTTTCCAGACATGTAGAGGTTAACTCCACTTTCTTTGCTGTCAGGAATAAACCCACACACAGAACCCCAAACAACTCTTCCTATTTATATCCCTGAATTAATCAGAAAGGCTAGCACTTCCACATCTACATGATTAAAAATTAGGAGACCGGATTCTGTAGTGGTGCCTTATAATAACAACCAATCCTGGGAACGCAGTGGATGAATAATGGATCATGGCTCTGTGCTACTGGCTTCTTTCTTTCTTCTTCTCCCCTTTTTATCTTTCATTCTTCTCTTCCTCCTCCTCCTTTCCCAGGCTGGAGTTTTAGGTGGCAAAGGAATACATCCATCCTTCGTTTTGCAGGAGTTAGAGCTGTTGAGAGATATTGCCAATTCCTATTCATTAGACCCTCTCCTCCCCAGCCAGATCCCCTGGTTAGTGAGCCTGGAGACCATCAATAATTCACAGCCACACGAATAACTGGAGGACGATAACCACTTACTTGGGAAGACATAATCAGGACCCATTCTCTCTCCTTTTCTTCTCATCTCCTTAAGCAGCTCCCCAAGTCTTGCTGCTAATCCAACAGAGAGAAACAGGAGCAAAACAGGAGGTTACAAAACAAGATTTTTCTGGCACAGGGAAGGCAAGTGGTTCCATGCATGAGGTTGTCCCCTGTCCCATGATGTCCCCTAGCTTTCATGAGCAGCTAAGACAGGCTGGACTGCTTTGAGGGGTGATGTTAAACCAGCGGCTGCAAAAAAAAGTCTTCAGATGTCAGCCAGTGGGACACGACACCAGTCAGGAATATTAAACCTCCCACCATAAGAGTCCCTTCATTTAATTCCAAGATGCTCTTCAGAGAAGGGCTTGTGGGTTGTTTTTTTCCCCATGTTCCACAAGATGAATTGCCAATATTTTACAAGCTGAGGTCAAATTCAATTAATAGCTTCAGTGAGGGGAAAAAAGCAACTGAAAAGTATCAAGGTTTTTCTTTTTTTTTTTTTTAAACAGTATAAATTCATCCAATGAAAAGGTTATTTTTTTTAAGAAGTCAAAAGAAATACTTCCTTAATAGTTAAATAAGAACAGAATTTTCCACATTTTCATATTTCAGAGGCTGATGCATTTTGAGCAACCCAAACCACAGATTTTCACTTTTTTTTCCACTCTTGTAGCCTGAAAAAAAAAAAGTACATTTTGGATCCATGTAGAAAATCTTTTCTTCCCCCAGTCCCTGGGTTCCACCCACTGAGCTGAAAAATCCCATTACTCACAGCATTTGGCAGATGTGTATGTGACCAGCCTTGTGTGCAACCAGCACATCTGCCTTGCCTACAAATCCTGTGCCGATGTGGGCAGCCACCTTTGAGTTGTCAGAGAACATAATCCCTTTCCATCTCCTGAATTGAAGCCCAGCACTGGAGGAGCCAGCAAGGAGTTTAATATTTCTCGGCCAGCTAAAGCACCGGGGCAGCTCAGGAGCAGCAGCAGAGATGTGCTTGGGGATTTCAGAGAGGACTTTGCCCAACTTTGATGGTCACTTTGCATGGCTCAGAGGGGGAAGCAGCACTGATCTCATACCACGCTGGGAGTGTTTAGAGATGCCAGGCTTCAAGAGCTAGTCACAAAAGAGGAGACCATGCTCCTCATCTCCTCCTTCCCCATTTCCCTCCTTGTCTCTGGCGTTAAGAACACAAGAGAGATGCCCAGGGGCTGTGCGATACCAGCAAAGCCACATCCCTGTAATGAGGATGCAGCCTCACACAGGCTGTCAGGGTGAGGTGATTTCAAAGGAAAGTTGAGATCTTAAACGTCTCCTTGATACCCCCGGCAAAATCTGCTTTCACAGAGGAAGACACTTAAAAGACTCACCACGGTGAGAGGGAATCTGACCAAATGAGAGGAGTTTTGCAACCTTTTGTGCGGCAAGACAGCAGCAGAGACGATGAGTGAAAGTGACGGGGAAATCAAAGCAGAGCAAGGGAGCGCTCAGGGGTTCCTCCATCCCTCCGTGACAGAGGGCTGGCAAGGGAGCCCTCTTCAAAGGCAAGCATCTGGCAACCCAGTGCTCTGGATGCCCGTAATAAGCTGTTCCCCCCCAGTGCAATAGGTAGCAGTCCAAACCCAGCTGTCTTTCTCCTCCAAATCCCCCTCACCTACCTTCTAATTTGCAGTCAGAGGCTTTGGTCCAACCCTGTTCCTCTCCAAGCCCTGTATCCAGCAGCAACCAGAGTAGCCTGGGGAGGAAACAGAAGAGCAGGGCCAGCACGCAGGGATATTTCTGTCAAATACTCTCCCATCCTCCCACATTTTGCAGCTCAGGAGCATCCTGGGCCAGAGGTACTTTGAGTATTTAGTAACCCTTGGTGGATTTCTCTACCACAGGTTTGATCCTTCATATGACTGCAAAAGCTCAGGCAACCACCTGGCCCCTCTAAACCTTCAGCCAGTTTCTGCTGCTGCAGTTCACATCTGGGGCACAGCTTTGCAGGCAGCAAAAGCCAAGCCAGCTGTGACATAAGATGGGCTTGCATGATGCCAAAGCCAGCTGCAGAGGTTTGAGAGGTCATAGCCCAAACCCCACAGGTAACACCAGGAATGTGGGATTAATGCTACCAAGTGACATGGTCCCCTCTCTGCCATTTCCTTGCAGTTCCTCCAGATGATCCTATCATCATGGGGGGACCCATCATCAGCCTGAGAGCAGGAGACCCCCTCAACTTGACCTGCCACGCAGACAATGCCAAGCCAGCAGCCTCCATCATCTGGATGCGGAAAGGAGAAGTCATCAACGGTGCCACCTACTCCAAGGTGAGGCAGGATGGGGCTGGGGACAAAGGCTGTGCTCTTCCCACACCCCAAAACATCTAGGGGAGCACCTTTAGCTCTGCAGAGCTGAGACTCACGTCATCCCCTACAACCTTCCCAACAGAGAGACTGGGAGGAAAACAGTCAGGAGGATGCAGGTGAGAAACTACAAACTGTCACCAAAATTTGGCTGGCTTTTTGTACCCTCTCACAGCTTATAATTGCCCACTTCCCCCTGAAAATCCCACCTGGGGGTGGGTTAATATTGTGTACAGCACCACACAGCCAGCACTGACCTGGCCTTGGCTGTAGCAGAACCTCTGGATCAAAAGGCAGTTGCAGTGACATATGTCCCCTTCTCCAACTGCAATTTTCCATGAAAAATTGTCAGGGTTGTTGGCATTTTTTAATTTAAACGGAAAGCCTTTACTGGGTCATAAAGGAAAACATCAAAGAGCAATCAGCAGCGTACTCAGAATGGGTACCCACATGTTCTCCTGATTATAGATGCCTGGTGTCTCGTAAGTGCTAAAGATTCAGTAACACTTGACATTTCTAATGAAAATTTCTAAAGAACAAAAATTCAAGATGTAAAACGGGTCAGTTTGCAGCCATTTGTAATGCAAGCAAACTTCAAAGTCAGGAGTCTAAGGCATTCCTCTCAAGCTCCTAAAGATCTTTTAATAAACATTTCACCCTCTGCTACCGCTGTGAAGCCTCCACCCAGCGACATCCCAATCCGCTTGGAAAAGCGGAGGAGCCAACCCCCCCTCCTCCCCAGGGGAAACTGCCCCACCTCCCTGCGTGCAATGCAAGAAGCACTAATTAAAGGCAGAGAGAACTGACCTCTCCCTCTCTCAAATCAAGCAGAATTAATTAAAAATCCAGTTTTTTAACAACTGACAGGCAGTTGTTTATAACTTATTCTGTTCACCCCAAGCCTTCCTCGCCACTGCAGACTGCTTAGACCTGGCCCTGGGGAGCCAACACTTAAGCCCTTTCCCTTCCAGACCCACAAGTAGTGGGTAGCAGAGAAGGAAAACTGCCCCTCCTTTATTTTTCTTCAAAATATTTCAAACAAAAAACCCTTGCAAAACAGAACTTTTCAGGCTGCAGCTCCATCTCACATGCAGTGCAGAGATTTCCACAGCATTTTAAGCAGCTGACAGGGATGGTCTGGGAGGAGAGTCCTGTTCTGCATGGAGGAAACATCTTCCCCTCCTCTTGGGGACAGGAGAACCTCAATTTCTGAGGCTGAACCTCAGGTTCTTCTGACTTACTGGAGGTTTCCATGAAGCCCTGCCATGAGCAGGGAAGAACAATGCTCCAGGGCCAGGCAGCACCAGCTGCATCAGCACCTGTCACCTCAAGCATACACATGAGAAACCCAAACTTAGCCATTTTTGTGATTCTTAACCTTGTGAACAGTTAAAAAAAAGAAAGACACCCTTCAGAAAAGCTAACAGCAGATTTTAGCCGGTTTTTGAAGGGGACGGTTTGATTTTTTGGGTCTGAGAAGCCTTTCCCTTTGAGGCTCACTTTAAGATCATTCCTCAATTTCCCTCTTCCTACTTTTTCAATCCAACTAAAACCCAACTCTGATTTCATTTGATCCAGATATTCCAGTCAACCAAGAAGAAACCCTGTTCAGGTTACCAATTGCCTGAAACCACTTATACTGAGCAATAATTTCTTTGGTTCTCTGAATTTCCAATCCACCAACTGATTAACACACAGTCCCCCTGCAATCACAGCCAGGCAGCTGACTGAACCCCCCCATACTTATCCTGCTACCTATGGAAGGGGACCAGGAAAGGTCCTTAGAGCCACAGGGGGATTATAGGATCCCATAGGGTTTGGAGGCTGACCCAGAGTTCAAGGGTACTGTGGAGGAAGGTCCTGAACAGACTTAGGGTTCACCACATCCTCAGCACCAAAAGTGGGGCTGTTCCCACAAGGGAAGGGTACACAGGGTGACAAGAGAGCTGGCACAGAGCACTGTCCTTACCACCAAGGGCACCAGCAGAGCAGAGAAGGTCTAGTGGTCACAGAAAGGCCCACCACAGCACAGCAACCTCCAGAAAGTCCATAGCAATGAGGCAGCTCTGAAGACAAACCAGGAAACCCAGATCACATCACCACACCTAAAACAGAGCCTGAGCTAGAGCCAGAGCTTAAATACAGCTCCTGGGCCTATGGGTGAAAAGCTCTTGGGTAGGGTCCCCAGATGAGGTTCATCAGGCACGTTAAGGACTGTTGGTGCACTCAGGCCCTGACGATCAGGTACTAATAGGTCTTGGTCTTGCTTCTCTCCAGCTTCTGAGCTGATTGTGGTGACAGTTTCTCTATCCTTCCTTGTCTGGTGTGTTTGAGAGGCACAAACCTGCACGTGTGAACGCTGTGTTATGACAAACCCAGGCGGTGAAAGCGTTAATTGTGCTGCCATATGTTTATAATTCAATAAAGCACTTGTCTTTCGTTGTGAGGAGGAAACTTGAAGGATACAGAGTTAGAGAGAAAAACTGCCTGGCAGGGTCCAAAATACATAGTTATGGGATGGGTGTTTACCGCTATCATCAATGGCTGGGAAAAGCTGTGTTGCTGGCATTTCTGGTCCCCAGAGGACATTGATAGACCAGCGGGAGGTCAGAGGAAACCCCAGAGAATGATTAAAAGATTGAAAATCACGCAACACCTTGAGAGCCTCCAAAGGCTCGATCGGTTTAGTTTTCCAAAGACAGGGCTACAGGGTGATGTGACCACGACCTGTAAGAACTTGCGGGAGGTTTAGGAGTTTGATAAGGCAGGGCTTGCCGATAAAGGCATGGCAGGGCACCACAGCTGGAAGTCAAAGTCAGGTGAGTCCAGGGAAGGAGCAAGGTGCCGAGGCTGAGCTGATTAAATGCTGCTCTACCATACTCGAGGTTTTGGGTCTCCAGCATCCTCAGGTGTCCACCACAGTGGTCACCAGCACGAGGTGAGTCAGAGGGGCAATGATTTACCATGGGCTAGCCTGGGCCACTGCGGGGCAGCCAGGAACCCATGGCTAGGGTGCTATGTAAAGTGGCCCAGGCAGCTTTTTGCACTCGCCCAGCAAAGGTGCAGAGGTGACAGCAGGTTCAAGAAGCCGGTTGCCCTATCTGTCCCCTGGCTCCCTCTTTCCTGGGATGGTGGGTGACATGTATCTCACTGGAGCTGTGATTCCCAGGTCCAGGCACAGCAGGGCTGGAGGGAAGCAGATGGGAGCTAAGTGCCCAATTCCCAGGGAAGCGCAGTGAAATTTGTCTGTGCTATTCCCCTAAGGCTTCTTGGCAGATTCCAGCCAGAGGAACTGTTATTGCAGAGAGCACTGCTTGGCTGAGAAACTTGTACGAGCTGTGTGTGGGCAGAGCCTGGTACAACTCTCGGCCGGGGCAAGGTGCCCCTCACCTGTAGGAAACTGCCTTTTCTTATCTGTATTTTTTCCCCTACAGACACTTCTCCGTGACGGCAAGAGGGAGAGTATCATGAGCACCCTCTTCATCGCCCCCTCCGACATTGAGAACGGCGAGAGCATCGTCTGCCGTGCCACCAACAAAGCCATTCCCAGCGGGAAGGAGACCTCTGTCACCATTGATATCCAGCGTGAGTACACGGCTGGCCAAGCTTGCTCTGGGCACTGTGTGATCCCAGCCTCCCCGCTGGGCTGCCCACACAGGGCTGACTCCAGTCAGGAGTGGGGTGCTGGGGTTTCCCTTTACTGGGATTTATTGGTACGTTAATATGGTGAAGTCAGAGAAAGGAGATCTCATCGCCCTTGAGCTCCCTGGGGCACCAGACAGACACGAACACCCACGGGGAGAGGCTGCTTCCCAGCTTTCGCATCTCGTGTCCGTGGTTTTGCGCAAAAGCAGCACCAGCTGCCGTGCTCTGCGTGGCTGGTGTGCATCACACACCGCCCGACTGCGTGCTCTCTGGGGTCTCTGGAGCAGGGATGGATCCCAAATTGGTTTTGACTGAGCAAGCAGCATCTCTGGACATGGCCAGTAGCAGAGATAAGGCCCATTAAGATTTCTGGTACAAAACCGCATGTTTCCGGTCTTATGGGCTGTTCAACGGTAAGTTTTTTGTATTGTCCTCCACTGAGATAGCGTGTTGGGCACCTAAGCGATGGGAAGTCTCCCTCCCGTGAAATACAGCTAGCGTCAATCGCCATCTGATGGGGACAAGAGTGCGTTGAGAGCCATATCATTTACGCTTTACTGTGAATCCATGAAGCAAAATCTTCCTCAAAAATTCACGTTTCACAGATCTCTTCCCTCCTCCTCTTCAATAGCTGATGCTCTCGGGCTCATCCTGACCTCCTCCAGCCTGGTTTCATTTGCACACACAATTCCTGCAGCTGTATTTACCAACAATTTGCAAATGCAGGGTGTTCAATATTAGCATGCCAGCTGCTTTCCAGAGTCCAATTAAAACTGGCTGAACAAACTCAAGCACAGCAGAAAATTCACCATTTAAGACTTCCAGCTTTTGCTGCTGGATGATTAACAGGCTCTTGGGTCGCTGGATAGCATGTCCTGACAGAACCGGCCAGATAAAATGAGATAATAGCATGGGTTATTTCACAGCCGGCAAACAGTTACAATAGCTGGAGAGGCACATGCATTCTCACAAACAACGTAAAGCCGGAGACATCATTACACTGTGCTGTACAGTGCGGGGCAGGAGACGTGAGCTGAATCCCTGAGCCTGATGGAATCTGCTTTGGAAAGAGAAAGACCCAATAAAGAACACCAGTTTCCACTCTGAGCCATTAAATACTCCATGCTGTGAAAGTAATAATAATAATATCCTCTCCAGCTATTAAAAGTGTGTTGTTCTTAATGGGCTCTAATGAGGATATCAATTTCCCAGTGCTGGATGGGTGATGGAGGGATAGAAAAATACCAAGATGGATTAACCAGCCTGCGGTGGGCTGGATGTCGTCCTGGATGCAGGAGCAGGCTCTAGCTGTGGTCCAGTCCATTAGGTTTCACTCCCAACCTGCTAGGCAACTGGCTGCTTTCACTTCACGAGAGCTAAAGGGGCTTTTCTTAAACAAAAATGATCTGGGACACTTGTTTCTCCTGGAAAACTGTCCTGGGCAAGGCTGACTGCAAAGGCAAGGGAGGCTGAAAGGAGATCCTTCCCGTGGGTCGTCTTCCAACAGCTAGCAGAGAAGCAGGACCTTAGGGGGAAAAAAGCAGAGGTTTCTGCAAAGATAAGGAGGTAGGCAGCAGGCTTTGGCTGGTAAGCTTTCCCCAGCCCAGCACAACCTGCTTGCATTTCACCCCGGAGCATTTCACTTGCACATCTCTGCCTCCACTGTTGACATCATCGCAAACGTTGCCCAGCTGCACAGTTCGAAAGAGGCGGCCTTGCAAAACAATCCCAGGGAACCAAAAATAATCCCTCCCAGGAAGCAGCAGCCTGGTAAATCACTCCTCCTGCTTTCGTTTTCTTTTGCAACTCAAAAGAGCATCAAAAATGCTCACACTCAGCAAAGAAACGCCTGGGCGGGGGTTATTTCCTATGCAGGGTGTACGCATGCGGTGGGAGAGAATATCCTCTTGCAGCTGATGCGAAGTTGACGTTTGGCTCCCATTAATCTCATGCAGGCGCTACTTGACCATCTTAGCAGCAATGAAATAGCTGAGTCATAAAACCCTCCTCTTCCAAAAAAAAAAAGAAGCGGAGAGAAAAAAGGGAACTGAAAAAAAAAAAAAAAACCCAGAGCAGGGTCTGTAATGGAAACACTAAGCGACTCCAGCTGGAACATCTGTTCAATGTGATTTCCGTTCCACCAGCCACATCAAAGTCAGCCTCCTGTGAGTTATGTGCCGAACATCACAAGTGGGATTAAAATCATGTTTAATAGTTTGATATGCCATAAACTATTTATACTGCCAGAGCCCAGTGGCTCTGTGGAAATGCACAGCCAGCGTGCCGGGATGGGGAGGAGCAGGGTTATTGCTTATCCAAAGCCGTTTGCTCCGAGCCTCTGCACACACATGTGTAGTTGCTCATTTTTACACCTTTTTTTTTTTTTCATGGCAAGAAGGGATTTGACTGCATCTGTATTTTTTGCAGGAGGTGGGAGTAGGAGGAAGAACGTGGAGGGTCTGTGGACCAGGGCGATGAGCAAACCAAGGGCCACGTCGTTGTGTTGGAGGGTGTCCTGCTGTGTTTATCCTTGTAGCACTCGAGTATTTTATTCCCTTTCGCGCTTCCCACTGGGGAGTGTGAAAGCCCAGAGCTGAAGAGGCATCTCAGTCTGCTTCCAGCTCCTCGTTCCTGCTCATTTGACCCACAGGATGCTTTTGGGTTCAGGGTGGAGGTTTGGAAGAGCTTGTCTGGGGGTCTGGGAGCACGGAGAGGGGTCTGCAGGTGCCCAAGAGCCAGCACTGTGCCTGCAGCCCGCGGAGCTCAGCCTGTGACCCCAGTGGTCATTTCCCAGGTGCTGACTTAAAATCCTGGGAGCTGAGGGGTTCGCTCGGTGCCTCACCGGCTGCACGGCTGGTGAGGAGCGGTGCTGGTGCCCCGGTGCGAGCGTGCTCACAAGGGTATGTGGTGCCTGGGCGTGCGAGCATTTGCATGCATGCTCTCCTCCTGGCCGCCTGTGGGCTGGCTCTATCGGATTCCATCATTCAAATTAATTACAAGAAGCCAGGCAGGAATTATAATTGTAACCGAGTGGAATTACATTCTGACGAGTAACAATTTGTGGGGTTTTTTTTTTCTTTAAAATACCCCAAAACACACTCACACAGAGAAACCCACGCTATCCACAGCACCCGCCGCCTTGCGGGGAAGCTACCACAATATTAGAAAGCCCAATCCCATTTGTGAAAGGCAAGATCAAAGACTTTAATTCATTTCATTTCCTTTTTTTCCCCCCCCCCTTTTTAATCTCTCTTTTTTTTTTATTTTATTTTATTTTGAGTGCAGGAGGGAGCCGGGCTCATTTTAATACAAAGAGGCTCTTCTGTAAATCGTAGGCACAGCTACTAAAGCATCAAACAATGGGAAAGCTGCTAAAGAGAAGTGTGATTCATACTTAACAAAGGAAGGTGATTAGCTGTTGTTGTATAACAATAGGGAAGTGTCAGGATGCCTGCAAATGAATTAGGAGCCCACTATATATCTCTGGGCTGTTACGTTAGGGAAGCTCATTTATATTCCCAACTGCACCCATCTTTATTGTCATTTGAATTGCACATTTTAAAATGAGATTAGGGTAAATTGAAAATACCTATAATTTCCCCGTCATAATTTCCCATCAAGGAGGCAGGTGGCTTTGCTCACAACAAAGCGGGGCTCTGGCTGGGTAAATATCACGGGGCCTAATGAGGTGGGGACGTGGCGGAGGACGAGGAGGAGGAGGCACTGCAGCACGCTGGGGTACTGCAGCACGCCACCGGCACGCTGCCTTTCCCTCTCCTGTCTCATCCAGGCTGCAGGCCAGCCAAGGTCACTGCCGAGGCCACCTCGGAGACTCCATCTTTGTCCCCGGCTGGTGGCCTTCCTGCCAGGGACCGTCCCAACCCCAGGAGAGACAGGCTGGAATAGCGCGGGGTTGCTTTGGACGCTCTCCTTCTCTCTCGGCACGCGGGCAGACTTTCTGCTTTCCTTTCCTCCCCTGCAGCTCTGCTGGCGCCAACCCTTCCCGTGCCTTTGCAGACAGCGTCGCTTTTTCCTCCTCTGCTCCTCATACGCGGGAGGTTTCCCCTGGGCCAGTGGGTACCAACCAGCTTCACTTCCTGCAGGTTGGCAGGGCTTGGGTGCTGAGCTCAACTGCAGCTTTTCCCCTTGCTCCAGCTGGGAAGGATGCTGCTGAGATATTTAGGAAGAGGAGAGAGGCAGCGGGTAGAGGCGAACATGTAGCACATCCTATTTTAGGATATATTTTGGCATATGCTGCATCAGACTCCCACCCTTAGCCGGATCAGTGAGCTGGCCTCAGCTCCTCTCCGCAGCCGCAGTGCAGCCTCCAGTGGGACAACTGGTTCTTCAGGCACCTAGAAAACCTCTCCACAAGGCCATTTCTCTCTGCTTTTTCCCCTCAAATGAGGTCTCATCCTTAAAGCCTAAATCTGGAGGGCTAACACCCCCTCTCAGACATCATTAAAAATTAAAACGACTCTGGATATTCCTATTCCCCGTCTAAACATCGGCCCCTTTTCTCGCTTCCTTTCATCGGTTCTCTCCTAAATTTTGTTTGCCTCTGAAGCGTTTAGATGCTTATCATGTGAAAAGGAGAAGAGAAACCGAGCACCAGTCGGAAGAACCGAAAGGCCTGTGACACCAATAAGGACTTGGCAGAGATGATTAAGCTGATGAAAGAGCAGAAATGCCGCTTTCAAGTTAGCAGATAGACAAAAGATCATAATTACACAGAACGATATTAAATGGGAGCTTTTCAAAGCAGGCAAGTTGATTTGCTCAAACGGGTATCGGAGCCAGCGTTAACATTTTTGAAGTGAAATGCTACATCGAGTGGTGTGCGTGGCTCCCTTTTCTGTCTCACTGAAGCCCTCCAAGACGAGCTGTGTGCATGACATGAGCCTTAAACATGATATCACAGCACCAAGGGGTCTCGGGGCTTTTGCCATGTTTTCTTACGACCAAATTTTGCTTTCCAGTCTCAGAAATCTGGCAGGCAGCAGGCAAGGGGATGCTGCACCATGCCTTTGAGTCGCTCATGGGCTTGTCTCTATCTCTTGGCAGACCCACCCCTGGTGAACTTGTCCGTGGAGCCGCAGCCGGTCCTGGAGGATAACACTGTGAAGTTCCACTGCTCCGCCAAGGCCAACCCTGCCGTCACCCAGTACAGGTAAGGCAGCCACCCCGCTCGCTGGCACCACGCGTCTCGCTCCAGCCCTCCACTGAGAGCTTCTCACATTCCCCACCGTGCAAAGTTATTTCCTCCAGGTGACCCAAGAGCACTCTGCAGCTCTGGCTGCGGTTTCTGGTGGCTATTCCACTTGCTCCCGTGTTTATCAACTGCTTGGTGGTCGTTCTAGCTCATCCCCTGGCCTCTGCTCTCCTCCAGCTGGGGGATCCGATGCCTGGAGCCTGATCCCCGCAGAGCAGCAGAGACCTGCTGTGGCGCAGTCTTCTTCCCAGCATCCCCGCTCCGATGGCTCCCCAACGCTGCTCGTGCCTTGATGATGTTGTTACACGTCGAGAGGCTCCAACTGCCTCCGCGTCTGCTATGTTTTGCTGCATGCAGCAAGTCCTCGGTCAGATTCATTGGCGCTTTGGAGTGGATTAAGAGGCCTGGCACTGAGCTGACGGAGCCATCTGTTTGGGGACATAATGAGCAAAGCGCGCCGAGTAAAAAGTCTATTATGGGAAAATTCCTTTTTTTTTTATACTCTTTTATGATTTAAACAATACAACTCCATTGCTGTCTCCGTGTAACCCTTCAGCAACCGCCGTAAGCCTCTCTAACCCCAGCAGTGTGTCTCAATCGGTCTTGTTCGCCGCAGAAGGTGAGCAGATGGCCGTGGGCTCTTGGGTACAGGTACGAGGGCTGCTAGCACTAGGAAACACTGCCTCTCTCAAAGGTTTCTCGGTCTAAGCTGACAAAAATATGGGTATGGAAGGCAGGGTGGGTTGTCAGCACCCTTTGGGAGATGAGACCATCGTGCTCAACCTCCCAGCTCCAGCTTGTGGTGAGGACAGTCCGCGTCTGAGCCAGCACGGAGACGTTTCACAGCAACCAGGTACAGCCCCGTCCCACCGCTGCGATCAGCAGCTCCTGCCTTGGAGTTACGAGCGTGCAATCAGTGCTGGTTTTGCAACAGCGTCAGTTGATAATAACAGAGGAGGCACCTCCGGGGACAGGTTCCCATGACCCGCCTCCTGTTAGGCTCGTACAGCTTAATTAGTACAATTGAGTTTGCTGGTAGGAACGATTCCTTCCGGCTGGATATCTGCTATCAGCACAACAAAGCAATAATTGCGTTCCTAGTTGCACAGAAGAGTTATTAATTTGAGAAGTCAATTAATGTCAAAGATACAAATAGCCCTGTTTTCATATTTACAGTTAGGAGGAAAACGAAGTGCATGACAATCTGGGGAAGGATCTGGGTGAACGTCCCACGTGGGTCTTAGGTCGTGATTGATTCTGGTACAGTTGAAGGCAAAACAAACCGCCTTTGGCCAAGGAACCAAACGGTGGCAAGAGCCTGGTAAGATTTCTGCTCTGAAGAGGGGGCGTCTGGCCCGATCCTGAGCAACAGGGGCTTTCACCTCATCCCCAAACCCACCCTGAGCTGTGCACAGAGCTGCCTTGAAGGCTCCCGTCTGGGCTTTCTCCTTCCTCTTGGATGTTTCCACCCTCTGGGTACGTGGCTCTCCCTGGCCCAAACAATGCTGGATTGCTTTTCTCCACCAAACAGCAAGTGGACCAGCCATGCTTCTCCTGTCTTTGGTGCCATCTCGTCAGTGCAGGGATTTTGCTGACCCTGTAGCCGCAAACGCCGCCCACAGCCCTCTTCATTCCTTCTCGCCCATCCCAGGGCCACGTGTTTTGTCATCCTTCTTCTTCCTGAGCATCGGGATTCCTGCTTTGCTGCAAAGCGCTTCATGACTCATTTGATGATGGACTTTACTATCAAAACTAATTGTATGTTTTTTTCAGGTTATGCTTTCTCATAAAAAGGAGGTTTTGGGGCGGGGGGGGAAGAGGCATGAAAAATTTAAGCACTTTGGGTTTCTCATTTCTTAAGTTCCCTTAGCATTTTAACATCACACAAGGCTTTTTCCCTACCACTGTGACAAGCAAACAGGATTCAGCAGCTCTCGGCAGGGCTTCCTTCCACTTAATGGCTCTGATTGATGAGAGGGGGATTCATTTCCCTTCCAAAAAATCCCAAAGCTCTTCACTAACGACATAAAGGCGGCAGATGTTTTGGCACCAAAGCTTGGAGTCCTCCAGAGCGGGACATCCAAGCAAGGAGCCCCCTGCACCTCAACACTGACTAATGGGTGAAGGGGTGGGGTGTGTAAAACCCCAGGACTAAGATACTTGGAGGTGAAAAGGCAGAACATGAGCTCAATGTCATCCCCAGGGACCCCATCACTGCTTAAATTAACTTATTCTGCCTTAAAAACAAACAACGGTGAGAGAAAGTGTGGTATTTTTCTCTCCCCAGGGAGAGAACCACTCTAATATATCTCCTATGGTTTCCCTCATCCTCAGATAGAGATACTAGGTCTTGGTCTTCAGCCGACATTTATTTTTAATACCTCCCAATATGTTTGTCAGTAAACAGCTCTGAACACAAAGGAAAAAAGTCTAAACAATATAAATCCCCTGTTCTGGGCATAAATCCACAGCCAGCTCCGCAGGGCCATCCCTGCTTCGAATACACGAGCAAGCTGTCACCTTGCTTGAATTTGCAAGGGGTGGTAAGTTTTGCATTGGGTTTGCACCACGGGTTTTTCTGGCTGGGAAAAGCGAGCGAGGTGGAGCATCTCACCCAAAGATGCTCAGCTGGGAAGCATCCGTGCTGCTCGTTTAGCAAGAAGCCGCTGAACCATCCCCGTGGTCCTGCTGACCTGGGGGTTTAAGCACAGACCCCTTGCTCTCTTCGTTAGGGTGGGAAGGGAGAAGAACCAAAATTCAGTACAATTTCTCAGGAGGCAAAAATTCCCCCTCTGCCCCTACCCAAACCCCCCCAGAGAATATAGTTTGGATGAAATCAAGGCGGCTGCTTTTTCCTTAGGAGGTTTTCTTTGTGCTCTCTTATGTCATACATCACATCCATGTGGGTTTTAATGCAAAGCAAACCTGGTTAGAAAGGAGACCTCGGAGCGATCCGTTCCCAGAGCCAGAGTGGAAAGTTACAGCCTGCACCGCGTCTTCTCTTCCAGGGGGGAGTTTAATGACATTTTGTCAAAATTGACAGGCTTCCGTGAAATGCTTGGCCTCAGTGGCATTGTCTAACGGGAGAAAAAGCCAGAACCCCTCTGCCTAAAAATACACTGGCATCTCTTGATGTTGGGGGGCAGGCAGGGCTGGGGCAGGGTGTCCTTTGCTGGGGACATGGTTCCTCTGCTCCTTTTCTTAGCTGAGGACACCCTGCAGCTGAAGTCCCAATCCTCCTCCCTCGCTGGCAGCAACGACTGCTTGACAAGGAGCATCTTTTTCCCCAGGGGGGTTTGTTCATCCGCGATGTCACCTGGGCTGTCACTTGCTTTTGGATGCGGGACAGGCCAGTGTCACCAAAAGCAAGCAGGATGAGTCAGGCAGAGGGCTGGCGAGGCGTCGCAGTGATGCGTGAGCGGGGTTGCTTGGCATAGGGATGAATTAACCCTGGCAGCAGGAGGTTTGCTCATTTGCATGTTTTTCCCTCTCACCATACAGAGCAATCTTTGCATAGACATATCCTATGGCCTCTATAGGGTCTTATACCCCATCTGGCCTGGGTTTATCCCATCTCCGCCTGGAATCGTGTTCCCTTTGCAGCTAAAGAGCAACTCAGCCCACCGAACCGCTGCTCCGCTGCTCCACAGCTCCTTGCTTCTGCTGGTGCAGCATCTTCTACTCGAGAAAGGCTCAAGGGGACTTGGGCTGCTTGTGTCCCCATCTGCATCCGTGGACATCGGGCTGGAAGCCCAAAGTGGCTCCGCAATATCCTCACGATGGTGGGGGCCCCTTCCCTCGAGCCGCTGCCTGCCTCTGCCAGCTCGTTTGCAGGCAGAGCATCACGCAGCCACTGTGCCAGGTTGGAGGAGCAGCGGCAGCAAACGGCTCCACCAGGCAGCGAGCATATGCGCGGGCAAATTGCACCGCCTCGTCTTCCTCTAATAACGCACTTCCCACACGCCTCTGCCTCTCGGTGGACAGTTCTGGGGTGGGGAGGGGGGAATTTGGGAATTTACTGATTTTCTTTTGCTGCAAGCAAACGGGCAAGAAAGGGAAAGGGAGAGAGAGTAATTAGCTGTCGCCGTTGTTCTGCCACCTGTGATGGCGGGTAAAATTAATGGAAAGCAACAGAAGTCGGGGCTACGTGAACCGACTCCCAACCAGGCATCCTCTTTGCTCACTTCAGATCTCTCTATTTGCCAATCTTCTCTTGGCTTTTGATGTCTGTTGTGTGTCTGTGGGGTGGGGTTTGGTTTTTGGGTTTGTTTTTTTTTTGCTGTTATTATTTATCACTTGCAGTAAGAAAGAGAATCTTTAAAGTGGCAGAAGAAAATGAGAAAGTTTAATATTGCAAGAGGCAGAGTCCCTCAGCCTTTTGGGCTCCTCAGATGATGATTATTTTTGCGGAACGATGGGGAGTTGGCACAGGCAGGGCAATAATACATATCTCACTCTCACGCGTTGATACAGTGCTCTCACCCCCAAGGCTAGCAGAGACCTTTGCAAATAATGTTATCTTTGTAGTCACGGAGGTGGGGGGACATTTGGAGCCACCCTCCAGCGTCACCTGCAGTTGTGGGGACCATTGCACTTCCAAAATAAGGCGTGGGACTGATGGACAGACAAACAGACATAGGTGGAAGGACAGAGCTATCCCTTCCCAGCTGCTGCAAGGTGTCTGGCTCTGGCATTGAGTACGGCAGCTGGGAACAACGTGCACTACTCTCCGTGAGTGTGGGGGACATCGCAGCTGATGCTACAGCAGAAACAGAGGGCAGGATTTGCTGGGAAGCATTTATTTAACAGCCACCGGGGATGGTGCTGCACCACTTCTTCCCCATCCTGTAGGAGAAGGGGGATTGCATTTTGTGCCCCAATTGGGCTGAAGCTGAAGGCGTCGTCTGCCCAAATATTGGTGAAGATCTTCCTGCAGCTTGGTGAACTGCAGGTCAGGG